TCTGTCACTACTGTGGAAACGTCGAAGATAACGTGTACCACATATTCTTCACCTGCGAACACTTCTTGATTTCGCGCAGAATGTTAAAAGAAAAATCCGGAGACATAACCTCCGAACAACATAGTTGGGGTAATGATCTCCAGTGCAGAAAAGTGGGAAGCAGTTGCGAGATACGTGAAATTCGTATTCCGCTGCAAACGAGAGGACGGTTGTCTACTGAGGCCTCCCGAATGAAACGCCCCTACAAAAGAGCAGCCCCGAGGCTCTAGCAGCGCGCTCCTGCATCTGAAGACATGCAGAATTGCGGTGCCAGATGCGGGATTCTTGCGCGGGCGGTGGGAGTTTGGGTTTTAGTGGGTAGCCCAACACGCTTCGGTGGGAGTCCCACACTCAGGGTATATAGTATAGAGACTAGCGCCCCCGGCTAGTGCATAAAGCATTTCCCTCTCCTACGAACAAAAATAAAAAAACAACAACAAAAAAATAATAAAAATAATAGTNGGTTTTAGTGGGTAGCCCAACACGCTTCGGTGGGAGTCCCACACTCAGGGTATATAGTATAGAGACTAGCGCCCCCGGCTAGTGCATAAAGCATTTCCCTCTCCTACGAACAAAAATAAAAAAACAACAACAAAAAAATAATAAAAATAATAGTAATAACTAGTGAACCCGCATGGCGTTAAAACGCCCAAAACTTAATTTCAAAAACTGGAATTAATGGAGATATACGAAATCAATCGAATACTCTTGGAGAAAAATTGGAACTATTGTAATAGGGGGCCTGGAACCTTCCATACCAACCGAATTTGTCGTACTGCATATCTTTGAAAGTATTCATGGTACAGTACTGGAACTTCGTATGTAAAGCTTCTAGAACAGATTCACTATAGAACCGGGTCATTTTTGCCGCCAGGGAGTGAAGAGGAAAAAATTCTTCAAACTTATTTCGTTTTGCGAATAACCGTGCTATGAAATGCTGAACAGTTAGAGAATTTCAAGAACTTCATCACGGATATAACACTTTTCTTAGGTTATTTAAAGCGGCAAATGACCACTAAACCTTAATCTTAGCAGAAGAATGTTCCAATAAAAATCGTAAACGTGAATTGTTGGTGAAAATGTTGGACCAAAAAGTTTCAATAAAAAATAAAAATTTTGGGCGGGCGGGACGGAGTTCGCCGGGTCTGCTATCGGGTCTTATCTTATCTTATCTTATCTATATATATAAAACCTAAATGTCTTTCGTATGACCCCGATGCCTGACCAAACGTCTGAACCGATTTCAATTCTGTAAAAAGGACTTTTTTGGATCTTCTGTGTGGAAGGTTTTTCGATTAAAAAAATTCTAAACTTTTAGTTGTTTAAGAAAGCTGAGGCGTCACGATTTCACAATTTCTTAGAGTTTTACGTATATTGTATGTCACCAACCTAACAAACGGTTGGACCGATTTCGTTCACATTTGGAACATATGTCAGCACCTTGAAGGGAAATATTTCGACTAAAAATTTAATCGCTAGGTGGCACTGGTGTCTGGATATTTTTAAAAACTGCATTTATTTGCATATTTGGAACATTGGTTAGCCAATTGAAAAGGAATATTTGGACTAAAAAATTACATATTCCTGAGGTTCTTATACAGTGGGAGAATAATGGATATCTACACATATACATATGTACGTCACAATAAAACGTTGAAACCCCTATTTTGAGGGCACCAATATATCTCTTGAACCAACTGCGCTGGGGAACTGATACTAGGCGCGGATGCATAAATTGTAAATACCCTACTTATGGCGAAAATTGGCAGGGATAGGAAAAGGGGGCGTGGAACCTCCCATATAAACTGAACTTCTCATATTGCTTATGTCCCGAACCGCTTATGCTAAAGTCCTGAAATTTGACACAGCTACATATGTTATCAGTATCGCACTTATGGCGAAAAGTGGCAAATATTGGAAAAGGTGCACCCCCATACAAAGTTAACTGCTCATATCGCCTATTCCTGGAACCGCCTTATGCTAAACGCCTTAAACAGCCACATATGTTATCAATACCTTACTTTCAGAGAAAAGTGGCAGGTATTGGAAAAGGGGGGGTGGCATCTCCCATACAAACTGAAATTCTTATATCTTCTTATGNGGGGGGGGGGGGGGGGGGGGGGTGGCACCTCGCATACAAACTTAACTTTGTCTGACTTAGTAAGACCCAGACTATTAAGACGAATTGTAAAAGTGGCGAATTGACCACGCCCGTCCAAGTAGGGACAGGGTTGGTAGTTCACTGGCTTCATTTGACTCATTTAGCCAATGTAGGGGAAAACTTTTCACCCTGTTCGGCAGCGAGGATCCTTGGCCCTCTTATAACAGAAAACGCTCATCTGTGCTCTTATGTTTCCTTATAAGGACTAATATTGGCACCGCATGTTGTAGTTGCAAGATCAAAGAAGATTATGCACGCTTGGAAGAGATTTCACAGGTGGAAATAAGACCATCGGAAAAATTCATGACATGGAGAGGAATTAGTATTCCATATGGCATCAAAGCGCTACTATTTTTGTAATTTATTTGGGAAAAATAAAACATTTAGATTTTTGTTTGGATTTTCTTTGATATTAAATTTACTATCCCAAAACAATTAATATCAAATAAAACACCTAGTATATTTCAGGACGAATGGATAAGGGTTGAGCCAAGAGCTTGTGTGAGCAAATTCAATTTTTGGCAGCAAATGTCAATTACGCGGTTATGCAGGATGACGATACGCGGTTTTGTACTTTAAACGACGATATACTTAATTAGTGTTTTTCAAGCTTTTTTTTTTTGTTATTTTTTGTAACAATATTGTTCATGCCTTAACCAAAATTATATAAATCAAACTTTATAAAATATTTAGAACAAATTCCAACTTTTTAATCTGAATCTTTAAAGCCTTTTTAGTGTAATAAAGTACAAGTTTTAAGCGGCTAAAATATCGCATAGATTTTTTTCGCTGACGGCTTTTTTCATATAACAAGTGCAATTGATAAAAACTGTCGTTGACTATTTTTAATTTTTTTGCAAAGGCATTTTTTCCACAAAAAATTCATGTTTCTATGGAAATAGTACATAACACCGTCAACAAAAAAAAATATTAAAAAATCAATGCGATTTTTAGCCGCTTAAAACTTGCACCTAGTTGACTAAAATTTCATAAGCCATGAATTTATTGAAAATTTTCTAAATTCCGTATAAAGTTTGAATGCTTGATTTATATGTCTTTGGTTAATGCATGAACAATATTGTTATAAAAAATAACAAAAAAGATGTAGATTGAAAAACATTGCAAATATTTAAACAAGTAAAGAGCTATAAATTCGCCCGAAACCCGGTGCACGTATTAAATATCGTTTTTTAACTTCTGTAAACTACATGGGTAGCAAGTTTTAAATTGGCGTACTTAGTTTTTGATATATACGTATGTGTTCGTATTTCAAAAATTTACCTTATATTATATATAAGTGAGCGTAATTTTAGTCTGATTTCTTTTTGCGCCAAAGGCATTAACTGTACCGAGTTTCGTAGAAATGTCTTCCTATCTATTTGTTTAATTGTTAGAAGACAATTTGTTGTTTTTTTTTTGAAATATATAAATTATTGTGCTTTTTTTGGGCCCACAAAAAAAAATCCCTGAAAATTGTAGCCCTTAGTATTAATATGAAGTGCTCGACCAAGGCAAAGATTTCCCATTTAAAATACAGGTAAACTTTGACTTTTTTCTTCAAAATTCTATAGCTCAGAGGCAATTTATGGTATAATCATAGTCAATGAAGGGGTTTCTTCAGAATTGAATGCTCTACAAAAGTGTCCATTGCGGCGTGACTCTAACTCCCACCAGCGAGGTAGTACGGGTCACTAACCCATTTTTTTCGAGATTCTCGTTTTTTTGACCCTATCTCGTAAATAACAAGAGCTACAGAAAAAATGTAAATGACGAACTTGTAGGGCATTCAATATCCTTTGAAGTTGACGCAGTGTGGAATATTCTTGGAAATATCGATGTTAGCGATTTGGTGTTCAAAACTTTTTTGTATGAAATTGAATATACTACAATTTTGTCATATAATTTGTTCTGTAGTTCTTGTTATTTACGAGATAGGAGCAAAAAAGAGAATGTCATGAAAAAATAGGGTTTAGTGATCTGTACTACGCCGCAATAGACACTTTCGTAGAGCATTCAATTCTAAAGAAACCCCATCAAATGACCATGATTATACCATAAAGGCCTGTGAGCTATAGAATATTTAAGAAAAAATGTTAAAGTTTACGTGTATTTTAAACGGGAAGTCTTTGCACGCCTGGGTCGAGCACTTAATATTAATGTTAGGGGCTCAAATTTTCAGGGAATTTTTTAGTCACATGCCCTTTATTCGCCCCGATTTGGTTGATTACACATTGCATCTGTTACTTTTCATGTTGTTTACTTTTAGGCTACACTGCTTTTTATTTAGAGAATTTTGACGACGAAAATTTAGCGTAGCGATTGTCAGAATCCCACTGCTGGCTATTCTGTTTTGCTTTGCATATGAAACTGCCTATGCATAATAATTCGTAAATATTGTTACAAACAATTACAAACTATTGCGTAAAAAAATAAAACTTTTGTCAGTGGTTTTTCTAATTTCGATGTGAATATTCATGTCAATGGAAATGATATTTTTGATTGATTTTTCGATTAAATGTGCTGTACGATAAATTGCATGAATTCAATATTATTTACTACAATTGCTATAACTTTTCTCTTTTCAAACCGATTTGTAAATGGCTTGGGTCTATATTCTTTGAAATTGAATAAGCTTTATTATAACATGAAAACCAAGACAAAAAGTTTGTTCCTTATGGGTGTAATTTACAGCAGAATAACGATGCAACTTAAAGTTATGCCCGATTTCTCCCATAGATAGATAATTCTTCAAATGACAATCTGATTGGAAAAATTATATAGCAGGGTGATAAGAAATTCGAAAACCTTTAAAGTGGTGGAAAGCTTTTTGGAAAAATCGCAAAACTCAGTCGTTTTTATATATTTTTGATTTTATATTCCGATCCGATCGTTTTTTCCTGAATGCATACGGTTTTCTTAATTTTCAAATGCAACGTACAAGGACTTCCTTTTTCGCATGGCAAACGGTATATTTCAATAAAAAGTTGATATAACGAACGATCTAATATACATGCATGCATGTTTCTACTTGAGGACGTTGTGCTTGAGATTGCAACGTGTGTGAGCTCGTTATATAAAGTTGTGGCTTGGTTGTACGAAAGATAAAAAATTTGATTTTTTGGTAAGCTTTACAACTACTCGCAATGTTAAAGGCATGTTCTACAAGCTGCTTATTTTCGTGGTAACCAAAAAGCAAAAAACAATGTGTTTCAAGTTTTATTTGTCCACAAAATAACGCAAAATAGAAGACTCAGCCGAAATGCGTGATTTTGTTGAATTTGAAGATGTATACCGAAACTATGGAATTTTTAAAATGAGTTTGTACGAAAAAATGTAACGTTCGTGGGCAAAACGTCCAACTTGATTGCGAACCAAGTTAAACCAAGGATCGCAGTGTATATGACTTGCAAGAGCTTGAAGTTCACTCTATCACTTATGCTCCAAATTGCTATATGTACATAAGTAATATATAATTTAGTCTCATGTCAATTAGCGCTAAGCAAAATGGTAGTTTTTGTGCCAATAAACATTACGGAGTGAGTAAATTAGGTAATAAACGACGGCTTCTTATTTCATTGCAGGCAGTATGACATCTGACTTCTTTCGTGTGGTTAATGAGGCTCGCCGTCATTCGCTCGGACCTTTCAGTCCCTCATTTAATATACAAACTTGCTTGTTTGAAGGTTTACAAAAGCATTTGCCAGAGGATGCGCATAAACGGGTCAATGGGCGCTTACATATTTCGTTAACGCGAGTTCATGATGGTAAAAATGTCATCGTTTCCGAATTCAATTCGCGCGATGAACTCTTGCAAGCTTTGCTGTGCGCCTGCTTCATTCCAGGCTTCTCAGGCATATTCCCACCTCGGTTTCGTGGAGTGCGGTATATGGATGGAGCTTTTTCTGACAACTTGCCAATTCTGGATGAGAACACAATTACTGTAAGCCCCTTCTGTGGTGAGAGTGATATTTGTCCACGTGATCAAAGTTCTCAACTCTTCCATTTGAATTGGGCTAATACCAGCATTGAAATATCTCGGCAGAATGTTAATCGTTTCGTCCGAATTTTGTTTCCACCGCGACCGGAATTTCTTTCGAAATTCTGTCAGCAAGGGTTCGACGATGCAATGCAGTTCCTTCATCGTAATAATTTAATAAATTGTCGTCGTTGTGTAGCTGTGCAATCGACATTTGTAGTATCAGAGACAGTGGCACAACCTCAGGACTTTGATCCTGAATGCAGAGAATGTAAAAAGCATAGAAATGTAAGTATAAGATAATAACCGAGCGCTTAATATTTCCTCTATATTATTGTCCGGATAATTTTAGGACGCTTTAAGCTCAAACATGCCACAGACTGTATTGGATGTCATTCAAGATTATATCGAACAAGCTAATAAAGGCTTGGCCAATTGGATATTTAAGCACCGAGGAATAAAACTGCTGTCCCTGCCAGCAACAGTACCTATGGATTTCTTCTTGGCCACAGTATCGAAGTGAGTTCTATTACCTATTGTTCTCTTTTTGGTTGTTTGTGTATCGGACAGAATAGGTCTATGATCTATTTCGCAACGAATTACCGTCATTCTTTGTTAAATTTGGTTTGGAGTAGAGATGTGCACGTGAGGTTTTGGCACGCATTCATGCGGATGTTTTAAAAATCAACAACTTTTGGTTTTAAAGGGTGAACACACCAAAACTGCGACACTTAGAAATTACTACCAGAAACAAACTAGAAGGCTTTGAAATTATTATTTTTTTTTTTATAATATAACTTGGAAGTTTAGATGTTATTAAAATGTTAAAATATTAGTTATTATTTGCTCCATATGCAAGTGATCGGTATTTTCATCGCACACGCGCCATCATGTTCTGCACGACTGCATCATCGACATTACGCGATGCGCACAACTACTTTGTTTTGCACTCTTCAATAATTTTCACTCTTTCACCTGTTTTCTTCAAGATTCCTTTGACAATTGACCAATATTCTCCAATAGGACGTGGCTCTGGGCTATTGGGTGGATTGCAGTCGTGAGGTACAAAATTGATGTTATTTGCATTATACCACAGCAATGTGTCCTTGTGTTCTAGGCGGACATGGCAAAGTGCCACTATACTTTGCCATGTCCGCCTAGAACGATGGCCTACTCCTTATCTGTTGATAAATGACAGAAGACGCCTTTTGAGGCACTCATCCCGATAAACTTGATCATTCATTGTCCCGGATGGGAAAAAAGGGCTGCTCTTACGGCCGCAGGAACAAATAGCTTGCCAAACCATGTGGTTTTTGGAAATTTGGACTTCATTTTCTCAGCTTACAACTTTCAGGGGCATCTTGACGACTTGCAGCAGTATAAAAATCATGACCTGCAATATATTTTGAATTCTTTTAGCAGTAGGTTTCACAGTCCATAACAATGCAGTTGTATTTTTTAATTTAGAATTCATACAACTTCCGAATGCGGGATTTCGCTGTAACATTCTACTTTGCGCCTCGGTCTGGCGCTGTTTGAGCTGTAGAACATCTCAATGAAGCTTTCCGCTTTACCTTTTGTACGAAAAACTGCGATCTCCGTACGGATTTTGCAACATAACGCGACAAAATCTTCGGATCTCGCGAAAACGCACTGAGGACCTTCCGAGCACTGTTTTTATCACTTTGACCATGCTAACCCCCGCTCCCTGGTTTTCTCGTAACTGTCAGGCCTTATTTGTACCGATTAAAACCCTGCAAACTGTCGAATAGTGCACTCTTTAATTTTTTAGCAAGTTTACGTGTACTTAAGGCCGGATCATTTATAAACTCGTGCAAAATGGTTTATCTCGTTTCTAGCTCGGTTGCCATTTTTAACTCAACTAGGAATCAAATTCAAATGAAATTTCTTCTACGTACATCTAAGGTCTTGGTCAACTTATGGTATTTGAATTTCAAAATATTGAATTCGTTTTGGGTAAGTTATAAGCTTCCCAAAGTGTCGCAGTTTTGGTGTGTTCACCCTTTATGCGAACTAATCTCGTATACAGGGTTAGAAAAAACATGTTTCAAACAAGTTTTTCATAAATGTTTTAATTTACATGTTTTAAACATATTTAAACATTGTTTTAAACACTTTCAATAATTCAATACTTTTGAAATTAAGGGTGGGTAGAAATCAAATCCATCGAAGAACTCATAAAATATCTATTAGAAATCAATAATAATGTTTACCATTAAAATTAACGTTATCTCTATATATAAATACGCCACAAGAAAATTTAGCAATCCCTTTTCGGAAGGCGCCGTTCGCTCAATTTCAATGAAACATACACCGATTTAAAGGATATAACTTGCTCTAATCCAGAAATGTTAATCCCGATACATAAAGGGCGTGGCATGTGACATATAGACTAAAATGTGAAAACCACTATATCTCTAAAACCAATTATGCTGGAGAACTGAAACTTAGCACAGATGCATAGATTGTAAATACCCTACTTACGGTGAAAAATGATAGGTACTGGAAAAGTGGGCGTGGCACTTCCCATACAAAGTGAAATTCTCATATCGCTTATCTCTGGAACCACTTATGCTAACGTCCTGAAATTGGACACACTAACTTATGTTGTCAATACCGTACTTACGGCGAAAAGTGGTCGATTTTGGAAAAGGGGGCGTGACACCGCCCATAAAAACTGAAATTCTCATATCGCTTATCTCTGGAACCACTTATGCTAACGTCCTGAAATTGGACACACTAACTTATGTTGTCAATACCGTACTTACGGCGAAAAGTGGTCGATTTTGGAAAAGGGGGCGTGACACCGCCCATAAAAACTGAAATTCTCATATCGCTTATCCTGCAACTGCTTATGATACCGTGCTGAAATTTTACACAGCAACTATGCTATCAATGCCGTACTTACGGTGAAAAGTGGTAGATAATGGAAAAGGCACCGCCCATACAAACTGAAATTCTCCTATCGCATACCTCTAAAACCGCTAATGCCAACGTCCTGAAATGTGACACAGCCACATATGCTATCAATACCGTACTTATGGCGAAAAGCGGTAGGTATTGAAAAAGGGGGCGAGGCACCTCCCATACAAGCTGAACTTCTCATTTCGCTCATCTGTGTATCCGCTTGTGCTGACGTTCTGAGATTGTACGCAGCTGCATATGTTATCAATACCGAACCGAAATGCAAATTCCATATCACTTATATCTGGAACCATATATGATAAGGT